CAAGCATATAGACACCTATACTGAGGAATGCTTGGAAATAACATGCAGGATGTTATCGTGGACATTAGGTCTGCCCCGAAGTGCTTGTAAGTGCAAACAGCAAGTGCTGCAAGAAAAGGCACTTCAGAAAAAAAAAAAAAAGCCAACAACAACAACAAAAAACAAACCAGATTTGATGCAAGCAGAAACTCTACCCAAACAGGAGAACAGAGCCAAGTCCCACAGAAATCAGCTGGCACTGACAAGCTCTGTAGCCACTTGAGAAAATAAATCAGGAGAGGGTTTTTTCTGACTAAGGCACACAGAATTCAACCTATAATGAATCACTGCATGTTTTTATGAATCACTAAATAACCAACAAAGTTGCTTGAGCCATCAAAGCCATGCTGCAAAGCCGACACTCAGCACCGTGATGGAAAGCAGGTTTAATCGCCGCTGCGCATTACATCGCGGGTTACAGCCCGTTTCTCCAGCCAGTCGTACAGTAAAACCCCTCGCAGCAATGCAACGTACTGGCAACGGACAGAAAGTCAGCATTCCTCCCAACTGCTCCACCTCAGGCACGTGGACGGCGCTGGCTGCCAACTGCCATCCCCAGCCCATCGCCGTGTTACACGTGCATTAACCAACAAGGGCCAGGAGCTGCATCCAAATTCCCCCCCGGGCTGCAGGGACATCTAGGGATTGACAAAAAGTGACTCAACACTTCGTTGATCAAAATGTTAGCAACAGCAAAATAATATAATTAAAGAAAACAGCCGTCTGGATACAGGCATAGCTCTGTGTTTCTATAGAGCCATCAGTTAACAGCAGCGCTTGGGAAGAGCCAGGAAAGGACCTTGTAGGATCGCAAAAGCCAAAATCCTGCTCTATACCACCCAACGTGCACACCGAGTACACAAAGTCCTGCCCACAGACCTCTATAAATAAACCCATGTAGGAGATCCAGGACTGAAGAAATAAGTAAGTTTGCTTCCAATTATATATCTTTTTTAAAAGAGGCAAATTAAAAGTAAATCAGTAATATCAGAGGGAAAACACAATACAACCTGACAGCGAAAATTGAACTTCGACCATTGCCTGTATCACAAGAACTATATTCGGGCTGTTTATATGCTCTAAACTGTCACATACAAGTGGCTTTCTGGTTGAATTTGGGTTTGGAGGTAACCCTGAGGCTCGGAAGGAGACTTCTGTGCTGGACCCATCACTTAGGAAAGCTGAAGAATGACACTACACAGCAAACAGCTGGACAAAAGTCAACCATGAAAATCAGACCCAGAGCCAGTCCGAACGCTTTCTGCTCCTTTGATTAAAGTTCAATGGACACAACTCTGATTATTGCTCCCACACCTGAAAATCAGCTCCTTGCAGATCTTTTGCTTTCTGTTGTTTGAGGATTCAGAAGTTTGTTCGTTTTATTAATACAAAACCATGCCAGTGGGGGGGTGGGGCGGGATTTTTTCCAGGTTGTTCTCAACATTCCCAAACGCAGCACAGCTATTAAAAACACAAACGTGCATCTCCTACATCTACCCACTCCCCTGTTTTCCCTCCAATGTGCAGCCCTTTGGGCAGACGCGTGCCTCCAGCTAGGCAGGCTCCCGGCCCCGTAAGCTGATCCCCGCCCCACCTGTCCCCCCGAGAACCAGGCAACAGCTTTTTTTAGCTATTTCTAAGCCTGGCAGTAACCCCCTCTGCTTAAGCCACAGAGGCAAACCATGCTTTTGGCCCAGCCGTGGAGGATTTCCACCTGCTCCAGGCCACAGGTCTGGGCTATCTCTGCTACCAACAAATATTTGGAGCGGCTGGGCGGCTTTCACAGTTCAAGCGATCTGAGTTGACAGGGGTTTGCTGGCAGCCCGACGCAAGATGCACTCGACGGCACTCCCTGAACGGCAGTAGCATTTGGGTTTTTGGATGCTGATGCATCCAGGTCTGCGGTGCAAACCCTGTGGCTCGGCGGGATGCAGCTCCCCACCTCTACCAGGAGCATCCCATGGGACCACCCCCAAGAACCAACAGGGACCCGCCGGGAACCGGACCCCATATGTGCAGGATGGGACACCTTTGCTTTTCAAGGCATGTTGGACAGACAGACAACTCCGTTCACAGCCGGAGGACACAGGGGTAAAGTCTTTCTGCTTGGCCGCAGGGGGAAGCATGCACAAGTTCTGGAGCTGAAACACCACAGGGGAGACACAGGGAGATGAACTCCCACACTGGGAAACACTCGGTGAGCATGGGGAGAGGAGGGACACGGGCACCAGGGAGCACGGAGCGAGACTTTCTCCTCCTCCTCCCCCCCCCCCCCCCCCCCCCCCCCCCCCCCAATAAACCCCAAAGAGAGCAAAGGACAACTCCCCCAGCAAGAAAAAGCACCATTGAGGGAGAGAAGCTGCTTTTCAGAAGGGGTTAGTGCCTCACAGGTGAGCGAGCACCTCAGTGAAGCTCTATAGACTCAGATTTTAGGAGATTTCACAGTCACGTCCCTTCCTTCTGTAACAGAGGGAGATTTTAACGCAAACGTAAAACTCATCATGGTTTATGGATCTATGCTTCTGGGTGGGCAGGAAGAATCACCAAAACTACAAAACCAGCCAGAAAACGCCTTTTTGTTGCCATCTTCTCTTTCAAGTTATTCTTCCCCCGGGACAGGCACTCAGAGAATCTCAGCCCTTATCACACTGATCCACCCGCGCTCCTCCTCAAGCAGTCTCCCCATCTTGCTGCTTTCCAAGTGTCCCAGCCGCGTGGCGGTGCCACTCATCCCCAAGCTGCCTGACCTCTGGCTGCCCGCGGTCCAACACACCCCCAGCACTGCCCGGGCACAGCACCAGCTCCTGAGAAAGACACACATCTCCTTGCTTTGAGGTTGCTCAACACAGCAGCTTCAGAAATCACAACCACCAGCAATGTGAGTGCTCTCGCCAAGAAGCTTAAGAGTCGACACCGAAGGATTGTTCTCACTGCGATGCGTGGGACTGCTGGTGACTGGGAGAAGGGGAAAAAAATCCCAGCAAGGAGCTTGTCCCTATTGCTGCGCTATGTCGTGAGCTTTGTTTTGCTACAACCAAAACATACTGGCTCTGACAGCAATAATGCTACAACACAGGGCTTATGTAGTCTTATTAAATTTCTGCTTCACTATTAACCAACCATCACAATTTCCATCTAGTATTACGTCAGACAGATAAGTTTTATAAAAGAACTTGCTCTTCTGTGAATTCTTAGGAGAGATGCCGAAAGGCAAAATAAAAGCACAGCGGCACCAGCACACCTGAACCCTCTTCTACACAAACCTCCCTTGCTCGGTGCCGACGCTGCTTTGTTTTCCTCCAGCTGCGGGTTAATTTGTCAGCGGTACCAGCTTCGGGGATGCCAAACCCTGAGTGCCGCATGGGAGAGCGAGACCCCACCAAAGCCGAAGGAGAAGGCTTCTCCCTCCTGCCTACCCCCAAAGTTTTGAAACACAATAGCCTGCTTGAAGGGAAGAGATCATCTTGAGCCACTCTCAGCTGTAACAGGAACGCAGTGCCCTCCCCAAGCCCCTCCAGGACCAGGTGTATCACTTTTTTGTGACGGAACCATCACCTACATTTAATATTTACACAGCTAAAGCATCGCTGTGAAGATCAACTACTTGTTTACTTCTCCCTTCCATCCACACGCGTATAGGAGGTCGGTTCCCCCCTCGCAACGGTGTGAGGCAGAAATACCTCTGCAAAAGTCGATAGTTCACGTAAACCTAGTTCAAACAAGAGGAGACCCAACGCCATAAAAACTGTGGGTTTTCCCTCCAAGTATTTATCCTAATAACAGACCACGGCAGCGTTCTGGGGAGGATTGTGAAATTCCTCCTAACGACAACACTCAACTTGGTGGTGTTGCTGAGGAAAACGGTGATCTCAGATGCACACCGGTTTCTTTGGTTAACTGAAGCGAGATCAATAATAACCATATTAATAAGTAATGCTTTTAATAGCAGCGGCAGGATACAAGCAGCAAACTGCAGACAGGTATCAGGGATAAGGTAAAAGCATTAATTATCTGCACAATGTCAATGCTTTTGAGCTGACGTGCAGAGCAAAGCTAAAAGCTCACTTTCTGAACATTATCAAGACAGACTGACAACTCTCTGCTTGCACACAAGCATTTCGGGTAAAATTCAATTTTCTGGATGTCAGAACTGAGAGGAACACACTGCTCTTTTTCATTTAACATTAATAAACAGGGTAAAGGACATAGGGGAGGGGGGCAGATTTAGAGGCTTGACTGTCCTTTTCCTTCCCTGCCTGCAAGTTGCAAAAGAACAAAAGCAAAGGAGAGTTTTCAGGACCGGAGGCGAGCGAGGCATGTGCCTTCCCCGAACCAACTCCAACCCGCTCCATTTTTCTGCGACGAGAAAGCGCACATGCACTCCAAGCTCTCTTATATAAACAGCAAGAGGGTCAGCGCCTATCTGAAATTCCCCACCGTGTCTAAAATGAATACGAGGTTGTCTTGAAACTTCATTTATCTCTCGGTGGGGTGGGAAGGAGTGAAGTTGAGGGGTTTCTCCCCTCTGCGGGTCCGGGGGGGGCTGCGGCTCATCATCCTCCGCCGCCCCATGATGCCAAGGCCGGGCACCTTGTCCCGTCGCCCCATCCCTCTCACTCCTGCACCGGACGGTCGGATGATGCTGGGGGAGCCGAGGGGACCTCGGCGCGTGTGTCCCCGCAACTGAGGCCAGTGGGATGAGCACGGGGAGGACGCGCTCCCTGCCTGTCCCGCTCCTGCAAAGCCCCACATCCCCCTCACCGAGGTGGGGATCGGGGCAGCACAGAGGGAGGAGGGACTCTGGGGACCCCGGGGGCTTCGTGGCATCCCCGTGCGCCGGGAGGGAGCCGTGAGCCTCCGGGACGCAGAGCCCCGACGGGGTGCTCCGGGCACGGGGAGGGGTCCCGGGGAGGGGTGTCCCAGTCGGCCGGGGGGTGCGGTGTCCCTCGGGGAAAGGATATGGGTTACAGACCAGCCTGAGGCACCAGCTGCGCGGGCGGGTGGTTTGCTTGAGGCAGAAGAAGGCGGTGGGTGCCAGCGCCGGGTAAGGCACCTGCTCCTCCTCCTCGGAGGCCAGGTCGGGCGGCGGGTCGCGGCCCGGGGAGCTGCCGGGGC